GCAGGGGGGACACACACAACAGAGGGAGCTTCTAGGCAGTAGCTGCGGTCTCAGATCTCAGCAAGCTGATTTAATTAACAAGTCAGTGTACTTAAGCCTGGGATCAGCTACTTAAAGGGGAAATGCACATTTTTTCTCTCAAACACAGGGTGTGTGTGTGTGTCTGTTTGCCCTCCCTCCTTTCCTGCTGCCTTGTAGAGTGTGAGAGTTAACCCTTGAGGGCTCAGTCAATTGCTAGTTCATTTAGCAGTAAAGCATTCCCTGCCAAACATCCCACCCTCGGATTCCTCCACCTCAACCACTCTTCACAATCATCATCATCACCCCCTCATTTACATTAATTCTTATGGGGAAATTGGATTCGCTTAACATTTTGTTTAAAGTCAAATTTTCAGGAACATTACTACAACATTAAGTGAGGAGTTCCTGTACAATATGCAAGGACACAGTGATTGAATTCAGATTTTTCTTGCTTTATTTACCCCTTAATAGTGTAACAATTCCTCAATATTATAATACTTCAGCAAAGCGAAAGTTAATATATGGATTGAAACCTGAAGTGCATTAAATTCTGGTCCATCTGGTAACGTGCTTTCTCCCTGTGGGCTGAAAAAGAGATCCTAGAAGCATTAAGAAGCTTATGAAATCTTTCAGCATTAGTGAAATAATTTTGCACTAGCACAGATACATACATTGGTGCAGCTAAACCAGTGGCTAAAACACTAACGCAGACAGGCCTAAAAAGAGGCTTTGGGAAAGAATTTGTTAATTTAATCAACAAAAAGTCATTACTGAAGGATGTGAGATATTACACACAGTCCCATAACCACAAATAGTCACTAACCACTTCTTCTGTTCAGTCCAAGGACAGGAAAAAGTAGATGATTAATCTTGCTACCTCAATGTATTTAGCCCATAAAACAGAATTGCTCCAATACTACTAATAGCATTATTTTTAAAAGCACAGTCCCCAATTACTAAAAAAAACCCTTCAAAATTAGAGATAGAATATTCATTCATAAATGACAGCACATTTAAAAGAGTGAAAATCTTTTAATAGCAAAATATATAAAGTATGTAATAAACAATAGGTTTTAAGTAGAAATTCCATTTGCATAATTTTAAGATTTAGATTGGACAATAAAAACAATACAGCATTTAAATGTACTGTAAAAACAGATTTATAGACTTATGTATTTATTGCTTTTACTGTTTATTGGTAAGCTGAGCCCATTCAAACAAAATGCACTTTGCAAAGCCAAATGCAAAGTTCTACATCTAGGAAGAAGGAATGTAGACAATACCTACAGAATGGGGAACTGTCTCCTGGAAATCAGTGACTATGAAAAGGATTTAAGGGCCGCAGTAAAGAAACAACTGAACATAAGCTCCCTGTGTGATGCTGTGGCAAAGGGCCAATGTAATTTTTGGATGCATAAACAGGATAGTGAGTAGATTAGAGAGATGATTTTACCTCTGTATACAGCACCAGTGAAACTGGAATACTGCATGTAGTTCTGGTGTGAAAAATTGGAAAAGTTACAGAAAAGAGCCACAAAAATGATTCAAGGACTAGAGAAAATGCTTTACAGTGGAAGACTTAAAGAGCTCTTTCTTCTTATCAAAAAGATGAGGTACTTGATTCCAGTATCCAAGTACCTTCATGGGGAGAAAATACCAGGTACTTTCTTATTTTGCCTTTCTCTACTAGATGAATCATGTCTAGAAGCTAAAGCTAGATAAATTCAAATTAGAAATAAGGCAGAAATTCCTAACAGTGAGCGCAATTAGCCCTTGGAACAAATTATCAAGGGATGTGGTGAATTCTTCATCTCCTGCTGTCTTCACTTCAAGACTGGATTTTTTTTGTAAGATATGCTTTAGCCAAACACAAATTATTGGGCTCAATACAAAGGTAACTGTGTGAAATTTAATTACCTGAGTTATACAAGAGATCAGACTAGATGGTCTAATGTTCCCTTCTGGCATAAAACTCTATGAATCTCTTCACATTACAGTGTTCTTATAAGTACATTCTTCACTGCACATAAAAAATAACTTAAGATTCTGGATGTTGTTTGGTCCTGTTTATCAGGGCAGATGATAAAATGACAATATACTTCAAAACCTTCAATAACAAATATCACTCCATCCAGTTACTGTGAAGTTCCCCTTACTGTTCGCATTTCCCAAGACATAACAGCGTTCAAAGTTTATTATATAGTTTAATGTACACTTATGTTCTTTCCTCAACTGAACATGAAAAGGGTACCCATGTCTTACAACTCAGGACACATTCTCAGTGAACACAGCTACTTGAATCCTTGTCATGTTTAATGAATGACAAGTAGAGTCCTGTAAGATACATTTCTGAGACTCAGCTATTCCAGATGACATGAGTCGCAGTGAAGATATCTGAACTCATTTCTCTACTTGTTTTACCAGTAGTTTTTATGTTGATATTTTCAAGTTTTCTTAAACCAACAATAAAAAAAATTGGCACCATGCACTAAAGCAAGGTTGCATATAGAAACGTATCTATAGAGTTTACAGATTCTTTTGTTGATAATAGTATACTCATTAGTCTTTGGCCTCTAGCAGAGTTATAATATCCTTACTTATTAAATGGTTTACTATGTTTTCATGACACCTTCTAAGTCCTATATTCCATAGGCTATCTAATAATTTAATAATGGAAGCCTCATTTCCAAATTTGTTTCTCCAAATGATCAGCATCTGATAATATCCCTCTTCAATATTTTTTGGATGTTCAAACGTTGTTTTATCAATTTCATTATCTGTTAGATGAGTTCTCATAAATGTGTTCCAGTTGCGTGGTGGCACTTCTTTTATAAAATAATAAAAACTTTCAATTAATGCTAGGAAAAAAAAAAAAAAAGCATCACTGAACATTTTAAAATGACCATTTCTCTAGATGCCTATGTACACTTGTATAGGTTATCAGATAAATCCAGTTCATGTGCCATTTTACTGCCTTTCCCCTTTGTAGTTTAACATTCCCTGGCACACAATTTGATTTAAGGGCTTAAACTCTTAACAAGAGAGTATTTCAGCAATATACCCCATTTAGTCCCACACTGCATTGCTGGCCTAGACAGTATCTGTTCAACCAGCTACTGATAAATTGGGAATACAAATAGAGAAGTATGTTTTACTTTGTATGGTAGCTATCTGTAGAAGATGAAATGCACCATTACATAGACTTCAGGAAACACAAACCTGAAATTTTCTTATGTCATAATAAAATCATGACTAATTTGTTCTAAATGGAATCATTTTATTCCTTTAACACACAACTTAGGTCTTGTCTACATAATGTTGCTGCACAGTGCCATGGGGTATGAATTCCTCTGCGCACCACCGTATTGCATGCTAACTGGCCCATGTAGTTCCTGCTGGCACACACTAAAAGTTCCTTAGTGTGGGTCAAATTGTACTATGTTAATGTGCATTAGGAACTTTTAGTGTGTGCCAGTTAGTGTGAAACAGCTGCACTTTAGAACTCACCCCTCTGGTACACATTGCTGCACCGTGTAAACAGGCCCCAAGTGTAGGATAGGAGCAGAGAGTATGATTTTAAAGTCAAGTTGTACCCATATATTTTATGGAATCTGATTAGCACAACCTGAACTGTTTTAGGTTAAAAACAAAAACCTGTGTATACTATTGAAAGTCAATACAATAAAAAGATTCAGTTCAACAAAAGTGGTGAAGCCTGTTTTCAGTAAATACCCAAGGAACAAGTAACCAGTTGGTTTCCTATTCAAAACAATTTTTTAAAAAAGGTCAAAGATGTCAATATGCATACTTCAAAGTGGTCTCTTAAGATGGGAGATAGCCTATTGAAGATGCCTTTTGTACAGATTTCACTGTAGTTTTAAGGTCCTTGTTCACGTTTGATAGCTTTCTGACCACTCTTAGCAATTAATTTTACCCATCCATCTACACAGCTATCAGTGTGATATAGTCTGCCAAGGTAAGTCTGATATCACCAGTACCCTCAATCAGAACATGGTTTACTTCCTTCAGTGCCACACAATATACCAGTTCACTGGTGTATTTACTGGTATCTGATACACCCTGGCATTTTATTTGTTTGAATGGTAAAGCTGCTGTACAAAAAAAACCCCCCCTGTTCTGTCCTTACATGACATGCTACAGATTACACTGCTGGTACATAAAATGGACCTTTTACTAGAGCATGGTTAGCTCTAAAAAGCTACTGTTCCTAAAGTTATTGACACACACTTTGAATAGTGATCTTTAACAACATGAATATATGACAGGGGTTGCCTGTGATAGCAGGGAACTGGACTCTATGACCCATAATGTAACTTCTAGTCCTATGTCCCATGTCCCTATGAATATATTATGAAAAAGCGATGTCCTTATCTAGAAATAATTACCGTATATACTCGATCATAAACCGGTTTGTTTATAAGCTGACCCCAAGATGGAAAAGTAAAAATTGAAATTTCATAAGCCGACCATATAATTCAGGGGTCAGCAAACTTTGGCTCCCAGGCCATCAGGATAAGCTCCTGGTCGTCTGAGATGGTTTGTTTACCTCAAGCGTCCACAGGCACGGCGGTAAACCTAAGTAAACAAAGTGTCCCGGCGCGCCAACTGCTTACCCAGACGGGCTGGGACAGCAACTGGTGGGGAAATTTTTTTTGAGGGGAGAAGCTGGGAGTCAGGGGAGTAACCCCTGTGACCACCCCTCACATGACCCCACCCCTAGCCCAGGACACCCACACTCTCCCCATCCCATCCCTTTCCACCTTATCTGGGGAGGATGTCTCTGACCTGGCGGGAGCTGCTCCGGCAGGCTGGGCAGCGCGGCCGCAGCCTGCTCCGGCGGGCCAGACTGGGCAGCACGGCCACATGTTCC